GTTAAAGTTTAGGGGTTTAAAGTTAATAGTTTAGGGGTTTAGTTTAGGGGTTTAGGGGTTTAGGGTTTAGGGGTTAAAGTTTAGGGGTTTAAAGTTAACAGTTTAGGGGTTTAGTTTAGGGGTTTAGGGGTTTAGGGTTTAGGGGTTTGGGATCTAGTGGTTTAAGGGTTTAGGTTTAGGGGTCTGCGGTTTAGGGTTCAGGGGTTTAGGGGTTTAGGGGTTTAGGCGTTAGAGTTTCGGCTTTCCTTTCAAGGGTCCTATAAGGGCTCTATAACATTTCCCTAAGTGGTACCAAATATTGGTATATCAGAAGAAGGTCTGTATACTTCACTATAATATTCTTTTAATTTGTAATGTTGCATCAGATTTAGCACAATCAACATTAATAAGCCATTGAAGTTGTGCCAACAAGGGGTCGAAAAGCAGCCGATCTGGGTCTATAAGCGGCCGATAAGTCAGTAAGAATGCCTTAAGGCTCCAATAATGGGGCCGTGAAGTGTATATGGGTTATATGGGCGACAAGACGGGTGGATTTTCAGGGTGCTATGAAGCTGCTGTAGGGCTCCTAGAAGGGCGGCTGATCTAGGGGCTCATTATCAGGGCACTGTAAGAGTCTGGGGTAGACTCTACAACAGTTTCTAGTACCAAACTACGATCTCCGGCATAGGGATTGGCATGGGGTTTGTGGCTTTGCGTATTGTGGTTCGGGACCATGGTGCACGAGGGGCATCCTTCAGAATATTCTTGAGCTGCTCGTACCATCTCGTCATGTGCTGAGGCTTAAAACAGATATCCAGGCACGGGGATATGCCCAAGAAGAGTGCCCCACCATGTCCGAGATGAAGGACGTCTCGGTGTCGGATCCGACGTGGCCACAATTTGGCAGTCGACGCCCACTTGGCCTCTTTGCAGTGGTCCCAATGAAACAGGCCGCCCCCCCCTCCCCCCCCCCTCCCCCCGAGAAAGTGGCTTCTTGCCTTAGAAACCGAGGAAAAGTTGTAATCATGCAGCTTGTGTACGAAACAGTTCAAACATACACAAGCTTGACTTCTTGAGCAGAACCATTAGCCTACGGGTGTAAGTGCCCAAATGGACCAACTATGAGTGATCTTGGTGTATACCACAACACACACACACACCGCTTAAGGTCACAACATACAGCCACTGCAACTCTAAACCGTTGAAGTCAAGTTGCAAGAGCCTCACCGGAATCCTCAATCCCGAGAGCTCTCAGCCTCAACCTGACGGCTCTGTTTATGGCCAAATAGGTTACCACATGTTCGAAGGAATCGCATCCAGCGGCGAATGTGCCCCGGGCCGCGTATTGAGGCTTTGGCGGGCTCAGAGTAGAGGGCGTGCGTTTAAGGGAGGAAGGAGCCCCAAAACCCGGAACCCGAACTCCAAAGCCTTGAAAGACCCAGAACAAAAAATCCAAAGCCCTGACACCTAAAACGCCTCAAAGTTTGGGGTTGAGGGTTCGACCGTGAACCGCGATACATCCCTAAATCCAAATATAGGGGCATTAATATTCAGAATAGGATTGTGGGGCCCATTGTACTATAATTGTAATAAGGGGCCCAAAAAATAGTATTGCTAATTATCTAGGCCACTACATGAAGCCCCTAAGCAAGAACCGGGGAGTTCTTTCACACCAAACCCCAAACTTTGAAGGGCTTTAGGTTCTTGGGTTTTGGGGTTTAGGCTTTAGAGTGTTTAGGGTTTAGGCTTTAGGTTCCTGGGTTTGGGGTTTAGGCTTTGCGTTAGGTTCTTGGGCTTAGAGGTTTTGGTTCCGCGTTCTTTGGGCCCAAGATACAACCCAAACTCTATACAAGCAGTGAGGCTCTAGTTACCTGAATTACGGTGTTACATCTGGTATGGCCAGTAAGATGCTATTTGAAGACCTCAGCTGGAGGCCGAAGCGAGCCCGAATATAGTACCCTAAATAGCAGGATCCTTATCTGGGTTGTAGTTTTGCGGCCCTGAAAAGTATTTATGAATAGACACCTCTATAGAAACCATAAGGGAAATTTTGAAGTTCCCCAAATTGCCACCTATAGTTGTTATAAGGACCCCAAGATAAGGTCCACAGCCAACTCAGGCAGGGGACCCCGAGGTGATGGACAGCTGCGCAGCCGATGTGCTCGGCGTCAAGCTGGCCATAAAAAA